GTGCTTTTTAGATGCTACTAAGTCTTCTCTCTAAACTTCTCACTACAAACTTGTGCTTAAATAGAATATAATACTCATGAACTTAAACTTCATCACAATGGTGTTATTTTTCAGATTTGTATCTCCTCTAAGATTAAAAGATTTTAAAAGCTTTAACTCAAGAATATTCAATTCCTTGACACTAATTGGACCAATTCCTAAAAAAATCCCTAATTTTTTTTAAAAAATGTATATCATGTAAATATGAATGCAACTAATGTAAGAATGGATGCCTAAAAGTTATTCTCTCCCCCAGACTTAAATCAAACATTGTCCTCAATGTAAAATAAAAGTAAGATAAAAGAGAAACTTCCCAGGTTTTGCACTTGAAAATTTAAGTTCTGAAGTTGAGTTCTTTCAATTGGAGACTTTAAGCATGTGAATTTCCATAATCTCGTCCCCCAAACTTGTGCAATGACCTTGCCAAAATCAAAGAATAACAATTTATGCATTAACCTAGGCCATAAAGAGAAAATGATTTTTAAAAAATCTAAAATATTAAAATAAAAGACAAAGAAACAAAAGAAAAGAAAAATTTTATGCTTGGGTTGCCTCCCAAGAAGCGCTTAATTTATAGTCATTAGCTAGACTTTCTACCACTCCAAGGTGGTTTTGGATCATGTCGTAGGGCATGTCCTCTCGTTTTCCTAAATCTTAGCTTTCTTGCCCTTAAGTTGAATCCACCATAAGATTTTCTTCAATGACTATTTTGAGGTGGTTTGGGTTTATACCAGTAGATGTGCCTTCCCAATTCTTCTAGGAGTGCCCCATTTGATTCCAAGGAAGATGATGTGTTCAAGCAATTTATGTATTCTTTGATTGAGTCTTTTGCTTGAATAAGGTAAATCTCAAATGGATCATCATAAGTGTTTTTCTGTAAAATCTCATCAACCATATCAATAACAAAATAATCATTAAAATCAGATTTGGTTAAAGGAGACTCCCCATTGAATACTTCAAATGACACTTGAGTTTTTTCCTCTTCCTCCTTAGGGACATCTTCTTGCTTAATTTCTGCAGTCATAATTTCTACTTCTCCAAGTTGTCCTTCAATCTCTAAGGGTAAGGTGTTTACCTCTTCTTCTTGATTTTTCATTGTTGCACTAGGTAACTCACCTTGTATCTCTTCAGCAACTAAGTTGAGCAAATTATATCGTTTAAATAAGCAACCAAAACTAAAATGGTTTAATCCACACCATTCACAAGTGATATTTAATCGTTCTATTAGAGCCTTCCTTAATTCGATCCTTTCAATGGCTGCTTAAAATCATTCAAGTTTATCATCGTCAATTTCTTTGGTAAGTATTGCTCCAACTTGTGCTCTTATCTCTGGCGCAAGCCATTGATAATTCTTATCAATGTTTAAGACAACTCGATCCATAGTTAGACCTACAAAAACAAAAACAAAAGAAGCAAAAAAAAAAAAAATCAAAATAAAGAAATAAAAGAAAATGTTCAAATTAAATCTAGAATTAATCAACTTCGATATTAATTAAATCAACAATCCCCGGCAACAGCGCCAAAAACTTGATGCACTAAAATCACCCTAATAAGTGTACTAGTCACTCCAAGTAATATAATGATGAGAAGAGTGTCGAACCTATGAGGATTGTGTCTAACTAAGTACCAAAATAATTAATCTAAATTTATTTGAACAACCAAATGGGAAGAAAGTTTAACTACAAAAAATAATAAAAGAAAAATAATAATTAAATTAAACATAATCAAGATATGAGGTACTAAGGCATTGACTTCACCTTAATCAATCAATATAAATTCTGAATTACCAAATTGTTGAGTGTTATTGCATGTGATGGTGGATTTCCCTAAATTAATTAACTAGCTTTCTCAAGTCAAGTTAATTCTTCACTTGTTTGTTAAATTAATCATATCTCTATGTAATTTTAAACAAACTTATGAGTATTAAATTTTATGGAAACGTCTAGCTTAAGAAGGGGGAGCTCCTAACTCTCTTCTCTTCCTCCACTATCATATGTGAGCTAATTACCTTTCAGTCTCATAGTCTAGCACACGATTTATATTATTATTGGTTTAATCTACGCAATTCTTTCTCAAGTTTATACATAAATCACTAAATCAATTTAAAGGTGATCAGACTTCTAATGCATTAAGTTCAATAATATAAACTCTTCATGCAAATAACTTTAATTGAAAGCATAAAATTACTAAATCCATATTGAATTTATTAGGCTACATCGTAACCTTAATAGAATAAATCAATTCATAATAAAAATAATATAATATGAAATCAAAGTTATAAACATTCAAGTATCAAACAATAGATAAAAACCCAAGGAAAAACAAAACCTAATTGGAGGAAATTGAACTCTTTGATCTTCTATTGTTGATGGAACCTCAATCTTGATCTCCAATAATACCCAAAAGAGGGTTGCCACTAGCCTCTCAAAACTCCTAATTCGAAATTTGGATGGGTATTTATCAATGTAGTCAGTATCATACCGTACCGGCCGGTATGGCCGGTACGTACCGGTTTTGGAGGTTAACCGAAACGGAATAAGTTAAGATTTCGTTTCGGTCAAATTTCGGGTATACCGGTCAAATTCTGGTGTACCGGCCGAAATTTCGGATACCGATTGATACATCAGAATTTGACTGGTACATTATGCAAGAAGGAAAAAAAAAAAAAGAATCCCCAGCCAAAACAAGCTCGGGGGTGGTGACAGGATACCCAGACGGTAACCCGATCAGGCGGCGGTAGTTCCTCGAAACCAGCAGGAGAGCCGTGGTGGGCGTCAGATCTGGCAGCCCTCTCGCGCGCCACCACAGATCCACCGGAGGAGAAAGAAGGCCGCCAGATCTGCACCGAACAGAGCAAGAAACAGCAAACAAACAAAGCATATAAACAAACAAACCAAAAAAACCCACCCAAAACAAAAAACAAAACCAGATCAGCAAGGGGATGGTGAAGATCCGAGGTGAAAGAACGGAGGTGATGGTGGCGATGGTGGATCTGCAGAAGGGAGAAAAATCGAGTTTTTTTTT